GTGAGAAAGACACTTGACCTACACCCTGTAGAAAAATTACATGCAAAGGTAAAAAGATAAGTTAAAGTCCATTCGCAACTACAATACAAGAACATAGTATTTGTGAGATAATAATGTTGGGACATTTACATAGCTTTGATAAGAATCTCATTGAACATCATATGATGGTTATGATCGTTGGGTATGTAGCTTCAGAACACATTAACATCGATGTTGATTAAGCATGTTATTCACGAGTATTTTCATATGTATAACCAACATATGTCCATGGTTGGAAATCTAGCACGTGCAACATAATTTCAAAATTGAGTTTTCATCATAAATGTTTTATTAACTGCTACTAGAGCATCGAGGCATGTGAAGCATTCTTATGTGAGATGTTTTGGCATTGCGGGTGATACTTCCTAGATGATTACAAAGGTAAATAGGGAATGAGTATTTGGTGATCATGGGAGGGTATACCACTCGACTGTGCCCTTGTTATGATGTTTATTTCATTTTATTAAGTGGGAAAAAATAATAATATGTGAAATCCTGTGGTTAGGTCAAGTCTCAATTTCATTACCCACATAAGTTAATGTATGGTTATCTATATAGAATGAGGTATGACAAAAACTTAATATTTATTTTTCTCTTCAATCTACTTGACTGCTTGTATCACCATTCTTTCACAAATCCAAATCGATTCGAACTAACCTATAAAATTATTGTAAAACTGAGTATTTAAAAATACCTAGTAAGATATGTGCAGTTTCTATAAACAATTATATAACAATAAAATTTACACTTCATATCACATTTTTCTTATGGAATATATTGATGATCAAGTGAAATACCCATCATTAGTCATTTTGAATTTTCGAAGGATTTTACATTTTGCTATAAAAACTCAATAGAGTTCACATTTCATTAGGTTGAACCTGAAAGTCTACTGACAATTTATACATATTTAATTGAATATAAAAGTATACGAAAACAACCCAATTGCATAAAAGTATCTTACCTCGTTTTTGAAAAAAAAAAATTCTTGCACGTAAAAATTCTGCTATTATTTTTCTATACTTTTTCCTTTCGTTCTCTTTCTCTGCGGCGACTATCTTTTTTCTATGATGAAATAATGAGAATTCTAGCAGTATTTGTAGTTGAAAATCTCAATTGAGTTTGTATGCAACTAGAATTAAAAAATTGTGTAATACAAGAAATTTGAATAATAATTGGTTTCAAATAATAGAATAATGATTACTATTAAACTTTATTAGAACCAGCATTTTCAAAATCGGACCCGACTGATTGGTTCATCGAAAAAATCGAGAATCGGACTGAAATTCGGTCCAGTCATATGAGAAAACTCAAATCAATGTAAATAAATCGGTGGTAGACCTGGGAATTCGTCCAGTTCAACCAAAAATCGGTGAACCCGTTACATTTTTCTGGATTCCACAATACTTTTGCTTAAAAAACTGTAGTACGAAGAAGAAAATGATTTACTCCATTTCTTCCAACAACATTCAAATTCCAAAATAACTTAAACAAATACAAGTATTTAATGCTTATTTATAAATCTATTTATTTAATTATTATTTTTATTCTAGGACAATCTTGGTTCGACCATTTGACCATTGACCCTTTAGCTTTTGCGAATTAACGATTGGGTCGATTTTCAAAACATTGATCAAAATCAAATTAACATTACAAATAACATTTTTACTCTAATCCAAAAATAAAAGATCAACTCATAATTATCTATGCGTGGTTGCCAAGTTATTTAATATTCGTAATTCTTCAAAATTCTATTTAACCTCGTTTACTCTATATCGGATCTAACTTGACTTGATCCTATCCAAAATGACTTTTCTTGGGTCGAAGTCTTCTAATTAATTACAAACTACAAAAAGTGTCCAATATTGATATAGTAAAAATCACTTTATCAAAATATAATTATTTGATCCAAAAATATAAAAATCAATACTTATTTCACTTTATTCCCTCAATTTTTCAAAATATAAAAATATAGCATATAAAACGAAAAAATTTTATGTTATAAAATTTTCCAAAATTTTCAGGGTGTTACATAGAATCTTGAGCTTGCAGCTCTTGAACAAATTGATTGCATGATGGATATGGCACTTTATATCAACATCGCGATGGAAAATCTTTAATATTTCAGACTAAGGTCTCTAGCCAATTTAAAAACTTTGTTTTTCCTTTATAACAGAAAATAATTGAGTCTCAAGAGAATTCCATACTTCTACCTATAATAACATGGAAACCTTTCTTCTTGAACTCCTCCTCTGCTGAGGAAACACTGATTTTAGCATCCTGCCCAACAAGCATATATACTCTGACCGGAGACAAAACTTGCCACCATCACCACCACCATAATCGCCAGCCACCGCAACCTCCCCTCTCCACATCCACACACTCCTCTTTTATGTAACTTCACGTATAAGTATATATTTGTTCCATTTTGAAATGTTTCGTGTGAGAGAACTGTGTATATGGTTGAAATGACAAGCTACTTTGGTGATCATTAACCCGAATAATGTTATCTAGCACTAATGGTGCTAAATCACCAATTTAAGTGGTTATACTTTATTTGTTCAATTAAATGAATCATGTGATTTTGTATTTAAATGAATCTATTATTTAATGGCATATAATTGTCACCTAGACTGACGCTTAACAGTAGTGGTGATAAATAGCATTACTCCATTATCCAATGCGTTTAAGTAGTCAATTGGCTAGGTCCAAAATGGCCTTAGCCGCTAATGGGCCTGGACCAGCTCGAAGTTTGTGGGGACTCGGTGGACCGTATTGTGCCATAGAACCGTCCAAAGGTGAACCGAGCTAAGATATGTCTATGGGAACTTAGTTAATTTTTGTCTTTGACTGATCTTGTAGGCCTTCTTGTATTACTTGAATGCTTGCGTGTCATTTAGGAAATTAATTGCTTATTATGTTTTCAGAAGGTTCGTGATAAGTTTAGAACATTTCAATTTCAATATGCGGATCAATAAATGTTGTGGATGACATTTATGGCTATGCAATCATATAGATAATCGCGTAATTAAATGCATTACTTTGCATATGAATTCGGGATATGAATATTATCAAGTCGTGCTTAGAATAAGTTTGACTTACTTCGGAAGATATAGTTTAATATAATAGAATTATTTATTGTCAAGAATTCACAAATTACACTAAATAATATAGGTCAAGAATTGAAAATACGATAATAATAGGTGGATTTGGAATTTCAACCCTTCGTTCTCATACATATTTCATTTAATTCTTAGATAACAAATCAATATTTAGGTATTATGACAACATTCAAATTTGATAACGAAGTAACACGATTTAATTTAAGGTTCATTCCTCATGGGGTAATACTCATTCCCACTACATAATTACTTGTCAATGATGCACTATGCTTTCGGGATTTCACCGAACACCAATTCTCGAATTCAAAATGATATATATCAGTCTATTGTAATTTGAATCACACACTTTCATGAAATTATACTATTGTACACCTTTATCTATCTATCTATACAGTGTCCTGTGCTCCTCCGGTATTTATGTTTCACGGTACCAACTTCTCCCGCACCATGAAACTTAAGGATGTTTTGCTAAGCCTAAAAGTTACTTAAAAGTAACTTCTAACGTGCACATAGTCACCTAGTGTAAAAGGTTCAAAAACAAGATTTTACCATGTCGTAAGAACAATATGTTCGAGAAACTATCCAAATGGATTTCCTCCAATTGATGGAAAAGGTGGTAATAAATAATATTACTCTATTATCCCATGCGTTTAAGTAGTCAATTGGCCAGGCCTAGAATGACCTTAGCCGCTAATGGGCCTGGACCAACTCAGGGTTTGTGGGGGCTCAGTGGGCCGTATTGTGCCATAGAACCGTCCAAAGGTGAGCCGAGCTAAGATATGTCTATGGGCCAAATATATTGTTGTTATAACTTAATTAATTTGTGTCTTTGATTGATCTTGTAGGCCTTCTTGTATTACTTGAATGCTTGCGTGTCATTTGGGAAATTAATTGCTTATTATGTTTTCAGAAGGTTCGTGATAAGTTTAGAACATTGCAATTTCAATATGCGGATCAATAGATGTTATGGATGACATTTATGGCTGTGCAATCATATCGACAATCGTGTAATTGAATGCATTACTTAGCATATGAATTCGGAATATGAATATCATCAAGTCCTGCTTAGAATAAGTTTTACTTACTTCAGAAGATATAGTTTAACATAATTGAATTATCGATTGTTAAGGATACACAAATTACACTAAATAATATAGGTCGAGAATTGAAAATACGATAATAATTGGTGGATTCAGAATTTCAACCCTTCATTCTCATACATATTTTATTTATTTCTTAGATAATTAGTAGGATAATTTATAAACAAACAAATCAATATTTAGGTATTACAACAGCATTCAAATTTGATAATGAAGTAATATGATTTTATTTAAGGTTCATTCCTCATGGGATAATACTCTTTCTCCCTACATTATTACTTGTCAATGATGCAGCACGCGCGCTTTCAAGATTTCACCAAACACCTTCTCGAATTCAACCTTAAGAAGTCTTAATCAGATGTTAAAATGCATAATTATGGTATGGACAGTAACACACAACAACTACAGATGCTGCTCTCAGCTGGGGTCGGAAACTATGGCACAGGTACTGTGGTTTGGGACCATTCGGGCGAAGTGTCAATAGCCAACAAATAAATCAGAAATTACACAGAATGATATATGTATATTTTGAATCACAAACTTTCATAAAATTACACTATTATCCCTTGATATACACCTTGATCTATCTATCAATCTATCCATACAGTGTCCTGTGCTCCTCCAGTATTTATGTTTCACCAGGATGTTTTGCTAAGACTAAAAGTTACTTAAAAGTAACTTCTAAACGTGCACATAGCCGCCATAAAGGGTTCAAAAACAAGATTTTACCACGTCGTAAGAACAATATGTTCAAGAAACTATCCAAATGGATTTCCTCCAATTGATGGAAAAGGTGGAGCAGGAGACAAGTCCCTTCCATTGGACTTTTGAATGGGGTTGAGGGCAGCCAAGGCATCTTCACCACTGCCAAAGTTAAGACTAACTTCTTGTGGTCTGCAATAACAAACTAAAACTGTAAACAATTTATGAAGTAAAAACATAACAGGGTTGGATTTCTTTATTTGTTATCATTGAACAAATCAAAGGATCTCAAAAAGTGAAATAAAATGAGAAACTTAATGAATATGCTTGAAACTTAGCACCCCTGTCTGAAAGCAGTTAAGCATTATGGGAAAAAAATTAGAATGTCGCGTCACCTTTTCCATTAGTCAAACTATTGAACATAGATGGAGTGACCAAATTGGAACAAAATTTATGTTCAGTTACAAACTTAAAACAAAATGAGGCTCTGTCACCAACATGAAATTTCGTTTGAAGTCTAGTGCCGGCTACCTCATTTAACTCTAGACATGTCACCCGTGCTTTCTTCTACAGATGTCCAAGTCACATTAGTTTAGTACATTTGCTAACAAGGATTTTGCAAATAACTTAAACCATCAAAATTGTGTGTTAGCTGAGAAACTGCAAGATTGTTGAAAACAAATCTCCGGAAATCCAAAATATACCTAGTAAGTTGCGGGTTACCAAGTGATTGCTGCTCCATGTATGCTCCTGGAATAGAGAATTCACGTGAATGTCGATAAAGTTGGGATCAACTTCTACATATATATATGCACACACGCACACACACACATATATATTTATAAATTAACTGAGGAAAATAGAGTAATTTTACCTGCAGGAATGTTCACCCCATAAGGGGAAACCTGTGAAGCCAGTGCTGATGCATAAGGCAATGATGGATGAGGCTGTAAACCCACCGGAGGTGGCATGTTAGTTAGAGCCCCGTGCAAAGATTCCACAAACGGAAACTAAACCAAAGAAAACAAGGAAAGGGAATAATTTCCAAGGTTCGTATGTTTAAAAGGTAAATTCATGAATTGTGCTCTACGAATATTGTACCAAACTGTTATTGGTTATGATCACAATGCTTTCAACAAATTAATGGACATTGAATATAATCAATTGAATAGGTTTTATTCTAGAACTGTATCTATGGCTTGTATGTACTACATTAGCTAAGTATTTTAACATTGAACTGCTAATGATGCTTAAGTTCTTAATTAAAGATCACTGATTTCTGTGGTTCTCAATAATTTTTCCTAACATAAACACACAACATGAAGGAATCACAATAATGTGCAGGAATTTCTATTGGCAAATTGATATTTCAGTAATGCATATGATATTAGTGGCTTGTTAGTAATGCAAACTGCACGATTCTAGACATTATAAGAAGAATAAGCTAATAGTTTTTTGATAGACCCCCGATTCAGCACATCTATTCTAGAAGGACCAAGAAGGATGGAATAACAAATTATGTTATGAAATAGTGACTAGGCTGGAGTTAGTTATACAAGGGGGGTTATAAATAGAGTAATTGTTAAGAGTCAGGGCATCAGAAATCATTGTGAGGAAAGGGAATATTAGGAGAGTATGGCTCTCTCAAATGGCCTCTTATGTTTTCTTAAGTTGTAATTTCCATTCAATCAGTTTTAATATAATTTCCTTCATATTTCTTGTTTGTTCTTCTTGGATTATTCTTGGCCTCTATCATATTTGGTATCAGAGCACCCATTTCATAGCACAACCATGACCTTGGCAGAACGAGTGAATGAGTTAGAGCAACAGGTGAGCAGTAATCATCACGAGCTCCAGACCAACTTAGACGCCTTACGATCAGAATTTCATGCCATGCAATCAGGCCTAATGGAAAAAATGGATAAGCTACTGTAGAGTTGGTCAAACCAAGAGAGGGAACGCAAGGACAAAGGGGTGGCTAAGGAACCATCATCATCTGCAGAATCCGGACTAGCCCAATCGAGACCAACTGGAAGTCAGTTTGAGGGAGCCGGGGCCTTGGGAAATTGGAAGGGAGAGTCGCGCATTAGGCGACTGGATATGCCGGTGTTTGACGGGATGGATCCGGATGGGTGGATCTTCAGGGTGGAGAGATACTTCGGGATTAATAGGATGACAGAAGAAGAAAAGATGGACGCCGCTGTGGTATGTCTGGACGGGGAGGCGTTAGTGTGGCTGAAATGGGAGGAGAAGCGACGGCCGATCTTGAATTGGGAAGAACTGAAGGTAAGGCTGCTTCGGCAATTTCGAGCGTCGCAAGAGGGGACTCTGTGTGCTCAATTTCTGGCGGTCCGACAATCGACCACTGTAAGGGACTATCGCCGACAGTTTGAGACGTTAGCTGCACCATTGAATGGCTTATCGGAGGAGGTGTTGGAAGGGAGTTTTATGAACGGATTGAAGCCCGAATTAAGGACAGAGGTCCAATTACACAGGCCGGTGGGGTTGGAGCAGATGATGGAAACGGCCCAGATGGTGGAAGAAAGGAATTGGGTCACTAAAGTGAGCCAGTGGAGTCCAGGCCCACCAAAACCTAAATCCAGTGCCTATTCTGACCAGAACCCACCCTAAAGTTTTAACCCAACAACCAAGCCCACTATACCTCTCAATATTACCCCAACCCATATGGCCAGCCCTGGACCATTTCAGAAAAATATCCCTTCCTTCAAACGACTTACAGATGCCGAAGTACAGGTGAAGCATGAAAGGGGTCTTTGCTATCGATGCGATGAGAAGTTTACAGTCGGCCACCAGTGTAAGAATAAGGAGCTTCAAGTGCTCGTAGTAAGAGAAATGGAAGCAATTTCGATTGGCAGGGACGCGTCGGGCGGTGATGGCTGCGTCGACCAGAACTCGACCGGAGATGACGAAGAGGAAGAAAGTAAGGAGAGCCAGGTCGTCGAGCTATCTATTAACTCTGTTGTGGGGCTTATGATACCGGGCACTATGAAGTTAAAGGAGAAGTTGGGCCAAAGAGAAGTCGTGGTCCTCATAAATAGTGGAGCATCCCATAATTTCATTAGTTCAGAAATTGTCCAGCAACTTGGCTTTCCTCTATCAGGCACTCCGGGTTACGGGGTAATTATGGGGACCGGCCTCAATGTAAAGGGAGAAGGCATCTGCAAGCAGATACCACTTACGTTGCAGAGTCTGACGATGGTAGAAGACTTCTTACCTCTGGAATTAGGGAGTTCAGATGTCATATTAGGGATGCAATGGCTGTAAAAATTGGGGAAAATGCAAGTGGACTGGAACACGCTGACTATGTCCATTAATATGGCAGGGACTACCGTAACTCTTCAAGGCGACCCCAGCCTTAGTAGAACCCCAGTATCATTAAAGACTATGTTAAAAACATTCAGAGAGCAAGGAGAAGGGCTCTTATTGGAATTAGGTAATATCACTATTGTCGATGAAGGAGGGGTGCTAGATCCTCCGGAAGTCATTATTGAAGTATTAAAAGAATTCTCTGCTGTTTTCGAGAGCAAAAGTAAGCTGCCCCCTCATCGGGATCATGATCATGCCATCAACCTGCAACCCGGAATAGGCCCCATCAGTGTGAGACCATATAGATACCCATATTTCCAGAAAAATGAGATCAAGAGGTTAGTGCAGGAGATGTTGGCTGCAGGAGTTATTCAGCATAGCACTAGCCCATTTTCGAGCCCAGTACTCTTGGTTAAAAAGAAAGATGGTAGTTGGAGGTTTTGTGTGGACTATCGGGCAGTAAATAAAGCTACAGCTGCTGATAAATTTCCAATTCCCACCATTGACGAACTCCTAGATGAGTTACATGGTTCAACCATTTTCTCAAAAATTGACTTGAAATCTGGGTATCATCAAATCCGGGTGAGGACAGGGGACATCCCTAAAATTTCATTCCGCACCCACGAAGGCCACTATGAATTTCTAGTCATGCCATTCTGAAGAATGCACCAGCAACCTTCCAGTCACTAATGAACAACATCTTCAGGAAACAACTACGGAGATTTGTATTGGTCTTCTTCGATGACATTTTAGTCTATAGCCAAACGGTGGAAGAGCATCGGGAGCATTTGAGATGGGTATTGCAGCAGTTAATGGATAATCATCTGATCGCTAACAAGAAGAAGTGTTTGTTTGGCCAAACCGAACTGGAGTACCTCGACCATATAATCTCAGGAAAAGGGGTTGCCACTGATATGTCTAAGGTGGAGGCCATGACTGCATGGCCACGACCTAAGTCGCTTAAGGAGCTAAGGGGGTTCCTTGGTCTAACAGGGTACTACCGGAAGTTCGTAGAGGGGTATGGAAGGATAGCTTGGCCACTTACGCAACAACTAAAAAAGGATAATTTTGGGTGGAGTGATGAGGCCGAAGCTGCTTTTGTAAATCTTAAAAGGGCTATGGCATCGGTCCCAATATTAGGGCTTACAGACTTTTCCAAGCCATTCGTGATTAAAACTGATGCGTCTGGTCACGGCTTGGGGGCAGTCCTGATGCAACACCGGAGACCTATTGCTTACTTCAGCCAAGTTCTTCCTCCTCGGTCCCGGAACAAGTCTATTTACGAGAGAGAGTTGATGGCAGTTGTATTTGCTGTTCAGAAATGGAGGCATTATCTAATTGGGAGGCATTTCATAGTCCGAACGGATCAGAAAAGTCTCAAATTCCTTCTTGAACAGCGTGTGGTAAGTACAGAATGTCAAAAGTGGTTGACGAAGTTACTGGGGTATGACTTTGACATCGAGTACAAGCCCGAGTTGGAAAATAAGGCGGCCGACGCCTTATCCCAAGTTGAATTGGCTACAGCAGGGATTGCACTTAGTATGCCATTTGTGGTACAGCAAGCTGAGCTAGAAAAGGCAGTAAAGGAAGACTCGGAATTGAGCCATATCCGTACAGCACTACAAGGTGACCAAACGTCACATCCGGGATTTGCATTGGTTCAAGGTACTCTATTATATCGTGACCGACTTGCCTTACCTAAGGGCTCCCCATTTGTAATGTTGGCATTGCAAGAAGGACACGATAGCAAAATCGGTGGCCATGGGGGATTCCTTAAAACATATAAAAGGATTGCTGCCACATTTTATTGGAAAGGCATGAAGAAGGATATTCGGGATTATGTGGCAGCCTGTGCAACATGTCAAAGGAACAAGTATTCAACCCTCACCCCTACGGGACTGCTTCAACCGTTACCAGTGCTGGAGAAAGTCTGGGAGGATATATCCATGGACTTCATAGAAGGATTGGCTTGCCAAAGTTAGACGAGGTTGATTCGATTTTGGTCGTCGTGGATCGCTTAAGTAAGTATGGACATTTTGTGGGACTTAAACATCCTTTCTCGGCCCCTTCTGTGGCGGCAATATTCATTAAGGAGATAGTTCGGTTGGATGGCATGCCACGGTCAATAATCTTTGATCGTGACAAGGTATTTGTTAGCAAATTTTGGAGTGAACTTCTTCGGTTGCAAGGAACTAAATTGAGGCTCAGTTCAGCTTATCACCCACAGACCGATGGCCAGATGGAGGTAGTTAATAGGAGTATTGAAGCTTATCTTCGCTGTTTCACTTCAGGCAAGCCTAAAGACTGGTTTCACTTTCTACCATGGGCTGAATTATCTTATAACACTTCTTACCATGTGTCTACACAGTTAACTCCATTTCGTATTTTGTATGGACGGGAACCACCCCCTGTCATCTGCTTTGAGAAAGGGACAACAACAGTATCTTCGTTAGACCATCAGCTGCTGGAACATGACCAGTTACTAGAAGAATTAAAAATGCATCTGCAGAATGCTCAACAAAGGATGAAAGCTTCTGCTGATCAGCATAGAAGGGCGGTGGATTTTGATATTGGGGAATTAGTCTACTTAAAGATGCGGCCATACCGCCTTAAATCTTTGGCACATCGTTCCAATGAGAAACTCTCCCCTCGGTACTATGGGCCCTTTGAAGTTATAGCTAAAGTTGGTCAAGTGGCTTACAAATTAAAACTTCCTCCGGAGTCCAGAATTCATCCTGTTTTTCATGTTTCTCAACTCAGGAAGGCTGTGGGTAAATTCCATCTGCTTTCCCCTCTACCTCAACAATTAAGGGAAGACTGGGAATTAAAAGTGGAACCAGAATCAGTTTTGGGAATCCGTTCTGCATCGTCTGGGGACAGTGACAACAGGGAGGTGCTCATTAAATTGTTTGGTCTGTCACCATTAGAAGCAACCTGGGAGCCTTTTGATCTCATTAATCAACAATTCCCTTCTTTCAACCTTGTGGACAAGGTAACTAAATTGGGAGGGGTAATTGATAGACCCCCGATTTAGCACATCTATTCTAGAAGGACCAAGAAGGATGGAATAACAAATTCTGTTATGAAATAGTGACTAGGCTGGAGTTAGTTATACAAGGGGGGTTATAAATAGAGTAATTGTTGGGAGTCAGGGCATCAGAAATCATTGTGAGGAAAGGGAATATTAGGAGAGTATGGCCCTCTCGAATGGCCTCTTATGTTTTCTGAAGTTGTAAATTTCCATTCAGTCAGTTTTAATATAATTTCCTTCATATTTCTTGTTTGTTCTTCTTGGATTATTCTTGGCCTCTATCATTTTTCTGTTCTTTTTAGCTGCATATCAAACATGCCATAGAATACTAGAATGAAATCATAAGATCAGGCTCAAACCGCTTACTATTGCAGCTTGAATTTGTGGCCGTTCATCACCAAGATCAAACGGGTTTCTTGGCTTTGCAGAATTCGGGGAAGGATCCATTGACTGTAAAAGAAGTTTCATTTTCGGATTTGTGATGTATCCCAGCTAAAATTTTTAAGAATACTCGATACTCGGTTTATCATTTCAAATGTGACATACCATTGCAGCCGGATAAATTTGCATGCCGTATCCCATTCCATGAGGTGGACGCACTTGCCAACTAGGAACTGCTGAAGCCAATGCCATGTGATTTAATGTGAAAAGGTCCTGCATAGTATGAGTAACAGATTACACGTTTCCTGAGTTTGATAAGCCATTTTCAGTTTTTCCTTTCGCTTCTGGCGGGACTGTCCAGATGAAAGTTCCATAGAATTCTCAAATTGTATCAGTCTATTGATCATTACCGCAGGAAGTTCCTCTCGTCCAATAGATTTTGACACATCTCCCAATCCAGTGTCCTGTGCTGGTTTGAGGAAGCTTGAGATGATTCCTCGGACGGAGCATTTGGAACCGGTCCTCGACCATTTGTTGCAGATGTTATATTACCCTGCTACGTAAGCACCACGAAGCGAATAACGTGCTATACCTAAGACCAAACCTTTAAGTGGTTTGTTTGTTAAGGGGGACTAGATAATATTACTCGAAAAGATTAAAGAACAAAAAAGGTTAAAATCATGTTTATTGTATTGTCCAATACTGCATGCTAAACATATCCCTTAAGCATGGTGCAAGGTTCAAATTTCAAACATTTAAATTCTCTTTCTTGTTTAAATATTTTTGTTACAATAACTTCACATCCTCTCAATTTGCAGAGAATACTTTTAAGGAGGAAAATGGTTTTTGACGAAATAAATTGATTTTGTAAGTTCTGTATAAAAATCACCTGATTATGCAAAGTTTCAACGGATGTACTTTGCAGAGTATTAGAGTGAATAATCTTAGGACAGGCAGGTGGATTTTGCTGCTCATTAGGCAAATTTTGTACGTCTGTTTCTTCCACTGTGGAATTCCTCCTGTTGTTCGGAAATGCTTGGTCCCTCTCCATAGTTGAAGAAGGAGGAGGTCCAACAACATTGGAAACTTTGGGCACACTAGTCGTCGGCCTGGCATCTGTAGCTTCAGAACTTTCGAGCAAACCCATGGGTGCACCCAAAAGAGCATCAGCACTGGTAGTGGTAGGTTCTTGAGTTGTACTGCCTACAGGCAACGCCATAGGAGCTGACAATTCAAATAACAAGAACTCCAACGAATTCATATTTGGAGCATTGGACAGCTTTTCTGCTGCAGGTGATGGAGAGGATGAAGCTGTTTGCTGTGCCGGTACCTCTGCTTTAGTAGGACTCACAAGGTTGGCATCAAAACGAATCAAGCTACTAGAATCTACAGTCTTGTTTTCCTTTGGTTCCTTGTTTTCGAAATGCAGCTTCGTGGGATCAGCTGTCTTCTGATAAATAAAACAAACCAAAACTTCAGAACACAATACGTTCAAATTCCAAAATTCAACAGTAGAGTGTAAGAGTTTCAATCTGCAAGAACATATAAGATATCATAATACTCCTAAATTATGTTGAACATCTGAAAATCAGAAAATGAACTCACACGGTCTCTTGCAGAGCCATCAGCATCCCTTCCATCATTGGCTTTGGTAGGTTCGCCAATTCTCAGGTGCAGAACTTTCTCGCGTAAAATATCTTTGAGTGGGCGTATTTCTGGAGAATTTTTCTCCCGGATCCTTTGAGAATCGGGGGACATTTTTCCATCCCTAGATTCTTGACCTGACTACCTATCAAAACGTCTCACACCTCCATCATCTCGATACCTGTCATCAACTATCTCAAAGCAAGTAGAAGAACGACCCCTATGACTCCCAGATCTCTTATTTCCTTGGGTGTACCGAGGACTTCTTTGTTCCATGAAAAATCTTAAAGTTTTCTCATTATTCCTCACGCTTGGACTTATTTTCTCAAATGACTGACATTCGTAGAAGTCATCTCCCCCAACATTCTCAGCTCTTTTGGAAGAATGCTTCTCATAAGTATCACACTTCAGTTTCTGCAACATCAATAATATCATTAGTTAAAAATGCACATAATTTCAAACAGGACAGGTCCAATAATCTTGATGATGACATCAACTGAAAAGTATAAAAATTCTTTATGGTCATAAGCAATACACTTACCGTTCTAACCATAGGAAGCGAACTGTTCTCCCCACTATACTTCCGGTCTACATAGACACGCTTGATAAAATCTCGAATCCGATGAAGATTACTGAAGAACATCATACATAATTATGATATGGCTTGTTTCTATATGAACTTGTATCACATATAAACCAAAGAATAGATTACCTGGCATCGGGGAAAGAATTACGGAGTGGATCCCACACCTTAAAATAAATTTGCCGAGATGAATGACATTAAGCTAACCAGTGAAATCTAAGAATTTTTATCAGAAATGAATTTAAATGTAACCAAAAACAACATGATCATTTTGGATATTAAGAATGAAACCTCATTTCCCCAATCTTGAAGAGCACTAACTTCTGCAGCATTAAACTTAGCCATCGACACTGATTTTACTCGATGTGTGAATTCCCGACTGAAAATATGCCAGGAAAATCGTTAAAGTTTTGAATTATCCCTTTCTACATTTGGCTTTATCCTTCTATTATTTTCTTCATTAAACATCAGCATTCTATTTATGCAACTTACTGCACACCACTACAATTTGTGCATACAAATGTCCAGAAAGTTGTACAAACATATTGCGGGCCCTGCTTAACAAAAATATAAGTGAAAATTAGTGAGTCCCTACAAGAATACATGTCTCTCTATCAAGAAAAAAATGTATAATGAAAAATGGATTATTATTAATATACATAATTACAAACACTTATTCAGAATAAGGTTTAGCCTTTTTCCTTTGTTTTCTTGATTCCACACACTATTTTTAAACAATGATTGGTTAATTAATTAGACTTTTCAACAATTGAAAAAGTTTACAAGATGCCAAAAATTAGAAAGTTCCATAACAAGTACTTTGAGCATCTCTAGTTGACAAAACAATGCATATATCTCACAGCCAAAAACTTTGGAATTGTTGAGTCTCAACATGGTTCTAACAAAACATAACTTGAAAATCGAGCACAAATAAAAACAAATGCAAAAAACATAAATGAAATAATGAGTGTAGTAAAAATTTCACAACTTGAAATCGTTTCTGATATCTCCTAGGGATAAGAGACATGGGGTTAAAGAGGTCCCTCGTGAATAATCTTGCATAATCTGCATTTCCTACTTTCGCAGCTATAGGTTCGCACTTTTACCCAATCCGGGGTAGTAACACTTTCTAAAGGCCCACTCTGCCACACAAGCGAGTGCATAATTTTTCTTTCTCCTACTTAAAAGCTCGAAATAAGCCCTACCCAAACATGCCGGCACCACCCAAAATACGGGATCATTTGACACCTCTAATTCAGAAGGTTAAAAGAGAGAGTATTATCAGGCTTAATATCTCAAAATTTAAAGAAATAAGAACCAAAACATACCAAACTGTTGCAATTTATACATCTTCTATTCTCTGGAAGCTTCAATAGATCACGAATGATCCTTTCGATTCTCTCTTCTTCCTTCACCCGCTGAGGCATTGTTTCACCAATTTAAGCTCACCTGCCTTTCAACATAGATACATTTAAAATATTAACCCATGAAACTTTTACCCAATTTATAGCGTTGCCATATCCTTCAATAATGAAACTAATTCGACATATTATTTAGATTATTTACATGGGCATTGTCATTCACAACATGGGTTTTCCAAATAACTTAGAAGTAAGAGAAAATGGAAATAACTAGACTTGGGAATGCACTTTTTTTGTCAATTACATTTCAAAATTTATTCTTCTTCTTCTGTCAATTACCTGTTTTCTTCTCGTGATTTCTCGGTAATAAAAGAGAATTTTCTGCAAAATTTTCGCTGGTGGGTTAATGAAGAAGCAGACGTAGGTTAATTTTCATGATGGGGCCTGGATTTTAGAGTAAGTTGTATGGAAGAGTTTTTTGCTGGAGAAACGAGGTAGGTGGGGAGGGAATATTGGCGGTTTTAACGGTTGGCGACCGTTATTTTTAGAAAATAGGGAGAAATTTGTTCAGGCCTCCTCTTTTTTTTTTTTTTTTTTTTTTTTTTTTTTTTTTTTTTTTTTTTTTTTTTTTTCATATATTTTC